CCAGTTCTGTGAAATTCATTAAAAACAGCCATAATATCATCCTTGATGACATTCCAAAAATCTTGATAGAACTTCATGTTGAAACTGTCGGGACCCGGAGCCTTATCACCATGTTCAACTTCATGTTGACATCCACCAGCCTTTCACGTGGAGGTGTGGGGCTGTTTGGGTGAGTGCTTAAGCCTTCTTGACACGCCTTTTGTCTTATAATCCTAGGTTCTCCTATCCTCTATGTTGCAAATAGAAATATTATAAAAATAAACCCAATATTCTCATGTTGCTGATAACAACATTACAAAATAAACCAAGAGAAATAATAAGATACCTGATCGTAAAGATCACGCTTCTCCTTATCTTTGAGGACCTACCAGACAATTAAAATAAATCTTCACTCAATATAAGGAGAAAATAGATCATAGAATGAGGCAATAGAAACAATATGGAAACCTGCAACAAGGGCGGACACAGTTCAGTTAGACCTGAAAAAAATCCCAGAAAGAAACCAAGAAGACTAAAACAAATAATAATCCAATAATTTTTTGTTTGACTTCATAAATTGTTGAGCTACTGAGTTTACATTGAGTTTAGATTGATTTTTTAAAATCTCGAAGCTAAATTGAATAACATTTTTTTCTTATATATTTCTTCTACTTTTATATTCTCATTTTAAAAAAACGAAAGCATAGCAACGAATAGCTTTGTTTGCTTGGGAGGCTGCTTGAGAAAACTATTGATAACCTCATGAAATACAGCAAATTTTTGGTGACTAGGCCCTTTCCCAAAATAGAGCCCCCAGTTTACTTGGACCTTTCACAATCCTGGAGAAAGTTGTCTTTTGTCAAGTCCTTAGTCTCCAGCCTTATGAGCAGCAGTTTTACCTTTTAAAGAGGTCCTCCAGAAACTAGGCCCTTATTTTGTTGCCTTTCACTATCCTGGAGAAAGTTCATGCAATTGCTTACAAGTTGGATTTGCCGGCAGAATCTGGTTTTAACTCCTTCTTCATGTACATGCCTCCACTGCAATGAGTCTGTTCAACCAACTTTGCCATCCTCCCGTAAGGGACAATTTCCCCTAATACAGCAAGCAGTGTTGGATAATCACACTGGAGCTGGGTGAATGGAACTACTGGCTTGGTGGGAAGGGTTATAAGCAGCAGGATGCCTCATGGGAGGATCTAACCAGCCACATGCATGTTCAATAGCCTACGTCAATGCTTGAGGACAACCACCATTCAAAAAGAGGAAGTAATTATACCCACCAGAAGTTGGTTACAAAGCCAGACATATTGTGGGACTGACTTATGCCCGCAAAACCCGAGGCAGCAAGAAGGAATTGGATGCTGCACTAGTTCCGACTGAGTTTGGTAGTAATTTTCAGTTAAAGTTTCTCGACACACTTAACTATGATATTGGAATAGGCACCTATCAGGGGGTTAGTTAGGAATTGGCTCTGGTCTAGAGGTTAGGAAGCCAGTTACAGGGCTTGCCTATAAACAAGTTTACTAATTACAGCAATAAAAGAATTAGAAAATATTCATAAGATATTGTTTAGAGTCCTATACTCAAGAGATCAATTCATCTTCTAATGAGCTTGCCTCAAGTTCAACCTGAATCAATCCACAAGGCCACAATTGTATCCCAAGAACAAGAACATATCACGTTATCACAAATTTAATGATTGTAACTGTTGCAACATTTGTAGTAAACTAGTGATTACTTTCCGATCTTATTTCTATTTAGTTGAAATTTTTGTTAGCTGTGACTTAAACTTCAGTTTGTAAACTGTGATTAAATGTTTCTACGGTTTATATTTAATTTGGACTTTTATGAAAGTAATGGATAATAAGAAAAATATGATTAATTCTTCTTTTTCAGAAAGATCTCTTTTTCCATGAAATCCCAATTATCCTAATAATCAAACAAAATTAACTTGATCTGAACCCTACACACCTCATATGCCTTTGAGACTTCTTGAAACTTCTTTTCAGCTTCGGGATCATCTTTATTCATATCTGGATGAAGCTGCTTTGCAAGCTGCAGAAAACAAAATCAGGGAACAGAAAACAGGAGAAACGGATGAAAAAATAGTATGAAATCCTAGCATAATGTATCCTCATATATTAAAATTAACAAAAGATGAAAAAAATAGTATGAAATCCTAGCATAATGTATCCTCATATATTAAAATTAACAAAAGATGAAACATATCCACAATTTTAGGATATAAATTGGGATAAGAAGATATAGTCTTATAAACTTACCCCATAATAAGCTTTCTTGATTTCACTTTCACTAGCATTTTTGCTTACTCCAAGGATATCATAATAATCCCTCGCCATAAATGCTGATACAAAGGATTAAACCATGAATAAAGAAGTCACTTTGTGACATATCATAAATTTTCCCAATGAAGTGAATGTCAAGCAAAGAGATTTTACAAGCACATACGAAAAACGAGGGAATGAAATAAAAT